GATCAAACAAGAGGGGAGCGTTAATTAGCGCCCCCCCCCCCAGGAGGCCAACATGGGGCCCAAACCCTAGTACCCCCTGTCCAGGTCCATGGGGAGGGGGTAGGGGGAGGGGTAAACCCCTCCCCGAAGGGGAAGAAGGAGGGGTGGAATAGGAAACGCTCTAAACCACCGTCGCCCAGAGGGCTGGTGGGATTTTGAAAACGAACGTGCGCGGCGCTAAGGCGAGAGCCAGATTTTTGAAAACCACTCGCCCTCCATCTGTGAAGCTATTGCGAATGTTTAAGCTTCGGGGTCATCCGTGATGAGGAAGTCTCAGGCGAAACGCCCGGCCCGCCCTAAGAACTGGCCTCGGGGTGCGATGGAGGCGGAGGAGGAGGAATCATAGTAACAATAACAATGCGAATCGTATTGAGAAGAAGAATTAGATGAAGGAGCAGCAGAAGACGAATAATACGACTAACGACTAGTATTCGCAGTACTAGAGAGAATAATAATAATACTAATAATACTAGTAATAATACTACGAAGGAGCAGACGAACATTAATACGAGAAGAAGAAGATCATTCATCATACGACGAATGATACTGGTACGGATAAGAATAACAAGGGTACTACAATACTAATAAAAAACAATATCACGACGAATCACACAACTAATACAACTAAGAAGAGACGTAGGAAGAGGAGGAGGAGGAGGAGGAGGAGGAGCCAGAGGCTAGATGGTGCGGCGCCTCCAGCTGTACCCGACGATCGCCAAGTCCGTGCCCGTCGAGGCTTTGGCCGACTATGGCGCGCCCCCGTGGCCTTTCGGCTTGTTGCCGGAGGGGGCGATGAACATGGAGCTGTTGTGCCTGAATATTTCACTGCACCCGCACAACCCACCCACCCCTCCCGCTCCTCGTTTTCCCCCTCATCGCCCACCCTCCCCCTCTTCGCATGTGCCTCAGCCGCGCCTCATGTCTTCGCACCTCATCCCCCTCTCATCCTCGCCTGCTTCGTCCCTATCCTGCACCTGGTCTCCTCTTCGTTCGCCCTCCGCGGAGGACGAGAAGGGGGGGTGCGCCACGGGGGAGGAGGCAATGGGGGGGAATATGGAGGAGTGGGCGTGGAGGAAGAGGAGGAGGAGGAGGAGGAGGAGGAGGAGGAGGAAGAGGAGGAGGAGGAGGAGAGCGGGGAGGAAGACGGGGAGGCAGGGGGGGGGAGGATCGGACCAGGGGGTTTGGCGAGTGCATCCCAGGATCTGATGACGGCTGGCAGGCCAGCGATAACCGCTAGCTCGCCGCTGAGCAGCAGTGGGACCTCCAGCAGCCAGGAGACCTGCCGCCCGTCGCACAAGCTTGCTCGGGGCCCTCCGATCCCAGACTCCCGACGTCGTGTCGTTTTCAACGCCGGCGTTTTTCCTCGATTTCGGCCGCCGCTTTCGGGCACCAGAACCATCAAGACTGGTTTGGTGAGCTGGTTTGGACATGCGTCCCCAGCTGGCGGCACTGCTGGGGATAACTCCCAACCCCATCAACACCCCCCCGAAGGTTTTCTTTGGGTAGGGGGAACCTCCCCCTACCCCCTGTGAGAACCTCACTATGAAGGTGCTGTGTAGAGCTACCGCAAGGAGCCCCCTCCTTTAAAAACCGCACCTGAGGTTCTTTTGGGGGAGGCCCAGGAGGGAACACCCCGCTCCCCTCCCCCCGGGTCCCCTGGTTTTTGGGGGTTTGGGGGGCAGGCATTTTTTATCCGTTCCGACCCCCCCCCCCCCTTGAGTTGGTTTGTTCCAGAGGATTCCGGGAAGAAGCACCCAGCACCTTGTCAAAGACCTCCCCTTGCATGGGGTCCAGGCGGGAGACCTAGAGCCCACCCCCCCCAGGCCATTTCCCTGTTTTTTTGGGGTGGTGGTGGGGGGTCAGGGGCACATGCCATCTTAACCTCTCCTGGAACCCCTTCCGAGAACGGTTTCGGGAGGTGTTTTAGAGGGGTCAGGTGAACTAGAAGCCGTAACCACCCAGCATCGCTGGTTGAGAGGGGTAATCTCCCTGAGCTTGTTAAGTGGGTCAGGGAGAACAAATGGTGGGCTCCGGGATAAACTCTTCTGAACCCCTAACCCCCCCCTTCTCTGGGGTGGTGGTGGTGGGGGTCCAATGGGAAAACCACCCTAACCCCTCCATCTCCAGTTCCTGGGGGATGTTGTTTTTTTGAGGGGTCCTGGGGGGAAGCCCCCGATGACCTCCCCCCCGAGGGCGTTTTTCTTTGGGGGGGGTTTAGGAGGGGGTGGGGGGAACCCTGATAGTGATGTTTTTAGAGGGGCTTGGTGGGGAACCGTCGTTTAAACCTCAGAAGCAAAATCGCCTTGAGGAAGGTTTTTTTTGTTGTGGGGGGGATTCGATTGGGACAACTATCCTACCCCCCCGGGGAAAACATACAAAACAACAGCATCAACAACAACACAAAACAACTGAGTTTTTTTCGTGGTAGGGGGTTCGGGCGAGCACCTCCCTTGATCCCCCTTTTTAACAGAAGATGCTTACAGCAGTCCCCTTACACCTCCCCCCTTAAGTTTTTTTGTTGAAGGGGGTCAGGGGACCCCCCCCCTCAAGGTTTTTTTGTTCAAGGGGGCTCTCCCGAAATTTTGAATTTTGGGAGACGGGCAAGGGGGACAACCCGAACCCCCCCCCATCCCCCTCATCAAGGAAGTCTTTTCGCTGATTTTTGGATGTTGTAATATGTTTATGCATGTACGTCTGTCTGTCTGTCTGTCTGTCTGTATGTAGGTAGGTAGGTAGGTAGGTAGTTATGTATGTATGTATGTATGTATGTGTGTATGTATTTATGTATGCATATCTCTATATATAGGTGTGTATATATGTGTATGCGTTTTTGTGTTTTCCACCATTGTCTTGTCGTCAGTTGAGCAGAGGCCGAGTCCCTCCAACAACCTTGGCAAACTCCCCGGACCCCCCCCCCTGGACTCTGACTTCCAACCCCCTCCCCAAAACCCCTCCATCAGGGAGGGCTCGGGTTTTTAGTTTCAAGGGGAGCTGCCCGAAACTCGCACCCCGGTCTCCTTCCATCGTTACCTCCCCCTCCCTTTCCCTCCTCCCTTCCCTTTGCTCCTCCCTTCGCCATTTTCTCTCCTCCTCCTCCGCCTCCCTCCTCCCCCTGTCCATCTCCCTCATTCCCTCTGCCCCCTTCCCCCCCTCTCCTGTCTCCACCCTCCTCCCCGAGGAGGAGGTGCTGCCGGTCAGACAGATCGTGGAGGCGAGCTGGCTGTCGAAGCACGGCGCGGTGCAAACCAGGCTGCCAAGCCGTGCTGACCGAGCGCAGACGACGTGCCACATGAAGCCCGCAGTCGTCATCTCTGCCGACCTCGAGGCTCGATCGAAGATCGAGGGTGGAGATAAACGACGTTTTTATGCCGCGTTTTTCTGGCACTCTCCTGGGCCTAAATGGGGGCTTCTGGAAGGGTACCTCCAGCGGACGGGACCTCCTTGAGCGAAGCCTTCGTCCTTTCATCTCCGCCGACCTCGGTCCTCGACGATCCTCGATCCTCGAGGCGGCGCGGGACACCGCGCTCAGCGGGGGCGGTCTGAGCGGGTGTACCACCGTCAGGCTGAAGAATGTGGAGCCATCGCTCACGCCAGACATGGCCATCGCCGCGCTCAACGACAACGGGTTCGAGGGCATGTTTGACTTCGTGCACGTGCCCATGGACATGAAGAGGAGGAAGACCGCCACGAAGACGAGGGGCCTCCGAGGGGGAGGGGGTTGCTGTTGTCTCCGTTCCCTGCCCCCCCGAGGCCCTGCTCGGGCCTCGGGGTCGTCAAGAAGCGACCCTGGACTGAAGATCTCTTCCGGAACGGTCCCCGGGCCCAGGGCCCGCTGCTCTCTTTCAGAGCTTCTGTCCCCCCGTCGCGCCAAGGAAGAACAGGGGCATACTCTTCGTCAATTGCGTCGAGCCCGCGACCGCGGATGCGATGTACCAGTCTTTCCACCACAAGACTTAGGTCGGGCATGTCTCCCTCTGCAGGAGGAGCTGTTCCAGAGTGGTGGCAAGAAATGGTCTGGGAGACGATGTTTCGATTCGTTTTGAGTCTATGTTTGGGCATTTGTGGGCATATTTTTGCATTTCTCTTCCAAAATCCGCCTGTAGGCCCAGAGGCCCAATGTCGTGATTTTTTCCATGCGGGGTTCCTGGAGGTCCCGACCCCTTCCCCGGGGCAGGCTTTTCACCCTGAGCCGTTTTTTGACAGTCCCAGGGCCTGGACAGGGCCTTTCGAGGCCGAGCAGGGCGAAAAGCCTCCGTCCTGATTTTCCCAATACGCTGCATCTCCGGGGGAGGGCATGCCCGACCTGAGACCAGACGATGCCTGGCATCAGCCTGCCGGGCAGGGCGCTGGAGATCACGCCGGCCTACGTGCAGGGCTTCCAGGAGAACTTCGAGCGGCACGCGGAGGCCGAGGCGCCCTTCCTCGAGTGCTTCCGCTGCGTGCTCTAGGCGGCCCACCCGTGGCGAACGAGCAGCACACGCACCCATGCCCATAGGGAGATCGGAGGGAGAGGGACTGGCTGCGGGTATGGGTGCGGGTTGTCGGACCCCTGGGGAGGCTCCCGTTCGAGCGGGGACCCCCCATCCGACAACACGCACCCATAGCTCATTCCGTCCCCCCATGGGTATGGGTGCGTGTTGATCGTTCGTCAACCTGAGAACGTCCACTCTGGATGGATTTTTCCCACCGAGGTCGAAAAAGAAAAACCGCCATAGACAGAAACTTTTGGCGCTCCGCGCGGGTTTCTTGGATCCGCGTTGGGCCCCCCCTTGGCGGCGCCTCGGGGCGGTGTGGATCTAAGAAATCCGCGCGGAGCGCCAAAAGCTTATAGTTATGCCGGTTCTTCTTTTTTTGCAAGGGGGGGATTAACCTTCTTGATTGAGCCTGCCCAGTCCCGCCCCCCTCCATCCTCCTCCCCCTCCTCCTTCTCCTCCATCCTCCACCCCCTCCCCTCCTCCTCT